TCCCTCCTTCCCTCACTCTCTCCCTCCCTTTCCTTTTCCATCTCTGTGTTTCATTAATTATGGACCCTTTCTGGGTTGACTGCAGTTCAGCTGGACCTGCCTCTCTCTCTCCAGCTTCCTTCCTCTTAAGCATCCATCTGCAGTAACAGTAAAAACATGCTGCCCGTGAAGGTGCTGACAAGACTAGCAGCTCAGATGGGAAAACACATTCTAATGCATGGTAAAAATGATGCCTCCATAATGGGTCTGTGACTTATGAGTACAGCCTGGGTGTCCCATGTGCACAAACGACTATTACTTGTGGCAGGGAAGAACTATTTGGATCAAATTAAACACAAATAAAATGTCTTCTTCGCAAAATTATTTAAATATTTTCATGAATTATTAAATTACATTTTCTGGATTTTTTTATAATTTTATTAAAAAATGTTCTTTGATAATGGCATTCTCTTCATGGCTTTCTTTGGTTTAACAAAATATCTCTGTAAAAATACAACTACAGTTTTCACATACTTTATTTTCTGCATAATGATATGTGAGCATATCATGTGACTTGTGTAGATCTTGGGGGGCGTGTTATGGGTTAAAACACAGAATTTGCATTTCATGGACCATGCTAAAATTCAGTAAAACTGCATTTGGATGCAAGGAGGGACAAGCAACATGTGACTTGGATTTTCTTTAAAGCACACAAGGGCTAGTTAAAGCGAAAAGTGCTCAGGGCAGAGTAGATCTGGAGTTCTGCCAATTCTGTGCCAGTTAAACAATGGTTTAATGCTGAATTCAAAACCCAAGCAGAACCCTTCAATATCCCCCATAAGGTACTACTTGAACTCTGAAAGATAATATCAGTGGAAATATTTTGAATGAGCAACATGGGAGCATCGAACTTGAAATGATTATTTTGCCCTCCAGAATTCATTTGGATCTCCACTTGGTCCTTAAATCCTTAGCAAAAGTTATCCCTGATTTTTGTAATTGTTTTTTAGTTTCCTATTTCAACACTAACTCCACCTTGACCCTGCACTCCGTGAAGAACAACAGACACAGCAATCTTGTCACAAATGCAACCACACAAGATGGGAATGAGCATATGACCCCCAACTGTCCTTCCTCCCACTGAGGAGTGAGGGCTCCATTGTGAGGAAGTTCTCCATTATTGAGTGTCTTTTTTAGGACTGGCAGTTTGGGCAGGTGAATGATTTTGAGGGGAGCCTGTGGCTTTGATGATACAAGGGACTTCTTCCAGGCAGTTCTGTTTCCATATTCTCCTCTGCCTCCTGTACGGCTGCCAAGCTGGCAAATATCACCTTTGAGTCCCAGGAGATGTGTTGAGCTTTCCCATGTAAAGATGTTTGGAATTCAGCAGTGCCACTTCCGGTTAACTGGCTCAGATTCCTGGGAATGCAACTAGTTGTCCTCCCTGGCTGGACTAATGCCAGATTACTTAAGGAGATAATTGACCACAAGCCAGCCTGGCTGACAGACCTCCTAAGTGCCAGATGCCAACTATGCCAATGGTCCCTTGCAGGAGGGCCTGCTTTCCTTGAGAGCATAGCTAAATGTGGCTTCATTCTCTTTCAGCCTGTAGCTCTGTTTATTTTTATTTTTTATTTTATTTTAGGGGAATAAAGTAAAATTGGTCCAAGTTATTTTCTTCCCGTCTGTAAGGACAAGGACATCTACACTAAGCTCCCCTCCCTCACTTTTTCCCTACCTTTCTCAGGGGTCCCATTAGTTCAGTTAAGTGGGGGTATGGGCTGAGTAATTGCAGCCTTTTCTACCACCTTAGCACCCAAGAGCACAACTGAGTGTTCTGTTCCCAGTGCCTGGCCTACATTAGAAAATGTTTTTGTAATCACACCTATAACCCAAGAAGGTTATAAATTACAATTTTCATCTGTCCGATGTTGCAAATTAATTTTCTGTTTTCTAATATGTAGAGGGCAGCTGCCTGTGAGCTCACATGAGACCACATACCCAAATGAGAGTTAGCTAAAGTAACACGAAATTAACTACCATCTTTACATCAGCTTCAGTGACATACATAAACTCAATATTTTGTTAGTGGCCTGAACCCTAACAACTTGTTTGAAATAAACACAGGGACTTTAAGCAGGCCTGTTTTGGTGCTTGATAATAATCTGATCCCTGTGTTAAGCAAGAATGTGGGGACTGGTGGCCTCCTATTCTAGTATCCCACAGGCGTGCCACAAGTGTTCTGCCAGGTTCCAGGTTCCAGGACTGGCAGCATCTGTTCATGGTTATAGATGCCCTCACAGTGCAGTCAAATCCCATCTGAGTTGGAAGGTCTGGGGATAGAGGAGGGTCTAACTGGGGACAGCCCTCCCCTTTAGGATCAGAGCATCCCCCTTGGCTTATTTTGATGAATCCTATTTTCATGCTATCTATGCACAGCTTCATTGGGACACCGGGTTCTTTCTGAAACAAGAACTTGAACACAATCATCGTGGACTTAACTTTGCCTTCCCACCTCTCCCTCTTTCCTCTAAACATGAAACTATCAGTTTTCTCCACCAGGCAGAAAGGGTACCCAGCAGGGGCTGGGTGCAGGAAGGGTCCTGGAAATGGCACACTTCTTGTTTGCTTCCTTTTGGGGCCAGAGAGAAGATCCCAGAAATGGGACCATAGGCACCACTAAAAATTATCAGGAACCATTCTGGCTGGGCCAAAAGAAAGAGGCATTACTTTCTTGAAGAACTGCCTAGAAGACAGAAGCTCTTTCTTTGGGTCAAGTGCTATAGTCCCTAAACTAGGCTCCCAGCAGGGCTTCAAGCACCAACTAATTGGAAAGTGGACAGGCAGAGAAGTCAGGCTCCAAAGTCTCCCCAAATCTCTGACCCCCATATCAGTGTATCTCTGGCTCTCTTTTCTCTTTCTACCGTCTAATATTAGTGAAGTGTAAAATCCACGTGAAAGCTAGACAAACTCTCCAACTGACTGAGTCAAGGAGGCTGCTACCTAAGATGTGTCAAAACTTTGTGACACACTGCAATGAGATTTGTAAAAGAAGGACGGGCACAAATGCTGTTTTGGGTTTTTTTTTTTTTTTTCAGGGTCTACCCAAAACATACCTCAGCAATATTGCTGAGTAACTGTCTCTCTGCGGTCTTTTAATGGATGGTCGAAGGAATTTCTTAGGCTTCATAGGCAGAGGAAAACTGGCTTCCAGTGGAATTTTGCTGGAGGTTAGAATTTTGCGGTAAGAGGGCTAAACAGAGGCTCACCAGGGTGGTTGAGGCCCAAGAGCTTTGTCTCCACACCCAAGCAGCAGTCACTCTGCAGACCCTGCTTTCCTAGGCTAGGCAAGCAACAGGTCTCCCAATGGTGGTAGCATTTCCCACCTACCTGGTTAGTGTTCACCACGATAGCAGAGGCATCTTCCAACAGTGTTGCTCTGGGCCCACCACTATCCATCCCCATATCTGCTCCATGGGCACCGAGACTGGGGCCCTGACCTGCGCCTGCCAACCTCAGAAAAGGTTGCCAATCAGTGATGATAGGGAAAATTTACTGTTGCAGGGTTTTGTCAATTTAGACTTTAATGTTGACATGGTCTTAATGAAATTCAGTTAAGGAAAGTAGAGTGATGAAAATGGGTAGAGATTAGCCAGCTGACTGGTGGTGGACAGATCAACAGAACGGGCAAAGAACACTGTCTCCAGAGAAGGCTCTCCCGTTGGTGTTGGTCTCAGGCCAACTCTGAAGTTGAAACTCTGAAGTTAAGAAATTAAGGACTGGGAAAGAATTTTCAACTGTGGCCTCATCTGCTAGGTAAAGAACACCCTCACGCCGGCACAGGTATATCCAGAGAGATGTTTTTAATGATCACCTGATACAACACTGGCAAACAGAAAGGAGATGGCTCAGACACAGGCCAGAGGGGACTTGGAGCCAGGGCCACTCAACACCCCTCCCTAAATTTGTTGCCAGTAAAGTGCTGTTCCTGGGTTTCCAAACCGAGGAAGGGCAACAATAACAGGGTGAATTTATTCACAAACGGCAATTGAAGAATTCGCCTGAAAATATACACAGCGAACATGATGCTTCCCCATTTGTGCACGAGGAGACAGGAAGCAGAATGCCACGAAAGGGCAACTCCTCTCCTCCGATGACCGCCCCTGTCCCGGAGGTGACTAGGCTTCCTCGCATTAAAAAAAAAAAAAAAAAAAAAAAAAAAAAAAAATGAGAGAAGCAAAATCTGAGATACATGTGACTTTTTTTTTCCTTAAAAGTCCACATGAAACTGGTCGTGGGAATGAACCGTGTTCTCAGACTCCGTGAGGGTTTCTCACCCGACTGATGGACAGAGGAGTCTCAGGTGGAAAGTCGCCTTTTATTGTCTTTCTTCGGGGGCTCCCGAACTTTACTTTTGTAATCTGGAGCCTTGCTCCTTAAGCCGCTGCCATTCTCTTTTGTGCGAACTAATTACTTTAGCTGTCGGTACTATCCTCCTCGACCCCAGGTCACAGCCAAGAAATGTAACCGTTTCCCAAAGATCCCACTAAACACACCCTCCCCATCAAAGCGACTTTATTCGTGGCATTGTTTTCTCGTCCTTTTTCTTGACCAAAGAGATAACGAGGAAAACTCATCCTTTCTCTTAACATCTAAGACGAGCTTTGCTTAGTGGGGAGGCGGCTGCGGACACACGAGAGCTGAAGACTCAAACTTGTGGTCTCAAGTCCATTTCCGTCACTCTGTCAGGCTTCTCCCGTGTCAGATTGTCCAACTGCTCCAGAAAAGGGTCTGAACACCACTTCCTCTTTGCCTGAAATGAGTTTTCGCTAACCATTTTGCTCTCTCCCCCCATAACTTAGCAATCTTTTTTTTTTTTAAATTACAATAGAAACTCTTACCTGAAAATGGGCATTCATTAATCTGATTTACAAGATAGTATAACACAGACACCAGGAGGTTACAGACCAGTGAAACATCCACTTTTGGGTCGTCAATCAGATTTAAAAAAATTTTTTTTTTCTCGAAGTCAACTTTGTCTGCCACTTTGGGATGCTCTCTCGATCTAGGGCCATTGACTCAGTCACTCGCCAGGTGTCTCCTCCCCTAGGAGTGCACCAACACCGAGTGCAAGGAGCCTCCCTTGCTGTCAGCTGTGCTAGCTGAGGTCGGCTCCAAGAGAGGGGCTGTGGGTGAGGCCGTGGCCGCGCACACGGTTGAGGGAGCAGGCAGCTGTTGTGACGCCGTGGGGACTGCCAGCGCCGGCGGCAGTGTGGTCACGGGTGGGAGCGCAGGAGTGGGCTTGATGGGCACCGGTACAGCTGGCAGGCTCTGGTTTGCCGAGTGACACAGGGCCTTGACTGGCACCCCGAACGCCCCATACTCAGGGCCTACCGGGACCCCAGCTGCAGCGGCGGCGGCAGCGGCCGCGGCCACCGAATCCATCACACCAACATGAGGCCACACCGAGCCGACAACATTGCCAAGCTGGCCTGGCACGGGGTAGCCCAAGTGGTGCATGACAGATGCCAAAGGCAACCCTCCAGCTTGTAGCACTCCCTTGTAGTCCCTCCCGATGATGTTCTCTATGGCGAACGGGTGTTTGAAGCCCGTGGTGGACGCGGCGGCCGCGGCGGCCGCGGCGGCGGCCGAGCCCAGCCCGTAGGGTGGAAACTGAGACAGACGCCCCACGCTGCCCACCGCCGCGGCAGCCGCCGCCGCAGCTGCCGCCGCCACTGCCGCCGCCTCCTGCATCTTCCCGGGATGGGGCGGCTGCGGAGGCTGCGACTGCGGAGGTGGCTGCTGCGCGGGCTGCGACGGGAGGTGTGGCGGCTGCGGAGCGGGAGCCGGCTGCTGGTGGAAATAGGGCACCATGTGCGGTGGCGGCGGTGGCGGCTGGGGCGGATGGTGGTGGTGGTGGTGTGCCGCGTGGTGGTGATGGTGGTGGTGGTGGTGCGGGTGGTGGGTATGGTGGGGGTGCAGATGACCCCCGGGCCCCGTCCCGGGCGCACCCTTGCCGCTTCCTGCGTGCAGGTGAGCGTGGTCTGCGCGCAGTACCTTGAATCGCTTGCGGCGCCTCAAGAAGCTCCCATTCTCGAACATGTCACCGCAGTCAGGGTGTAGAGCCCAGAAACTGCCCTTACCGGGTTGGTCCGGCCGCCGCGGGATCTTGATGAAGCAGTCATTGAAGGAGAGGTTGTGGCGCAGGCTGTTCTGCCAGCGCTGCGTGTGCTCGCGGTAGTAGGGGAAGCGCTCCATGATGAACTTGTAGATGTCGCTCAGAGGTAACATCTTCTCAGCCGAGTGCTGGATGGCCATGGCTGTCAATGAGATGTACGAGTAGGGCGGTTTTTGGTCGCTGTACGAGCTCTTCCCCGGCCGTGGCATCTTTCTAGGCTCCTCCACCTCCTACTGGCCCACAGTGGGCCTCAACGCCTCTCTGAAGCCCCAACCCCCTGCCTAAATGTCCCCTCTAACTCTCTCTCCACTTGTGCAGCCCGGATCCCGAGCCTTCTCAGCCCGCGTTGCTTCGATCCTTCTCCTTCTGAGATCTGCTAGGGTCCCCACGATTGGCTTTTAGGCCAATGCAGCTCAATGGTGCTCACAACTTTCGGTCGCAGACAGGCCCACACAGTAGCCAGAGAGGCTCGCCTGCTTTACCTTGGTTTTCTCTGAGTCTTCCCCGCACTCTGGGGACCAGTCGAGCTCTGGAGCCAAAGGCAGTTGAATGAATTTCTTTTGGCTTCTTTGCCCTTTCTCCGTGCAAGGGCAGCTCTGGTCAAACCGACTCGGCAGTGGAGACCCCAGCTCTTTAAAACCGCATCCGTGCTAGCTGTCCCAAGGCCACTGGTGACCCGACATTTCAACTCCCTGGAAGCTAGCTGACCTGGTACTGGGTCCGACCAGCGCAGATGTTCAGATCTTTTAAGAGGGGAGTGGCAGGATAAGGGGAGAGAGAACACTCTTCTATCAGTCTGTGCCCTCTTTCTCAGGGGGTCCGCAGCAGAGCCGAGGAAGACGTATCGAGCCCCAGGCGGTGGCTCCGAGGAAAAGTTTGGTGGTGTCTGCAGCAGAAGCTCCTGAAGGCTCTACGGAGGGGAGGGTGCTCAGGACTCCGGGAGTTAGCCTCGGGCTGCAGGGGGCGTCGGCGAAGACAGGCCAGGACCCGGTTCGCCCGGTCGGCTCAGCCGTCTGCGCTGCAGCTGCAGCCGCTCTGCCCCGCGGGTTTTGAGAAGAAGCGCGGCTGTGGCAGAGACGCACTCTCCTGGCTGCGTTTTGTAATGGTCCCCGAGACGCCGAGACCCCTGCAGCTTGCGCTTCGAGACTATCACATGACCGAGGCTGAGGGACTCGCCGCCTCCACAGCCTAGTCTTTTCCTGAAGAAGGGGCAAGAAGGCACAGTGTCTCGTCTCCGCCCCTTATCAATTTCCACCGCGGACTCCGACTCGCATTTACTATCCACTTGCTACCCAGGCCGCAGCCTGGCTGGCTAGAGAGCGCACTTTGGCCACTGAAACCGGGTCGCTGTCTAGGCGTCCCAGCTGTTGGGCTTCACATGATCTAAGACCCATAGCAAGGGGTCAGGACACTGCTTTCTCTCCCTGGGCCGGTACTTTTCACCTACTCTCTTCTAGTTTCCTTTGCTAGCCACTGGATCTCCAATTTGCAATATCATTGTCTTCACCTCTCCTCTTTGAGAAATAAAGATACCCAGAGGGTTGTAGGTGGAAGCCAATAGAAAGAAAAGCTGGGGCGTTCACATCCTGACTATTATGCATGGCCTACGTATTGGCCCGGTATGCTCACTAGATTCAGGGAGGCACGGATTGCTGTTTGCACTCCAGAACCTTGATTTAGAGGTCTGAAGGACAATAGGCAGGGAGCTAGGATGAAAGGAGCTTTGGGATGGGGGGGGGTGATGCGTGGACAGACTGCATGCTTTGGGCTTTCGGGGTGGTGATATCAGATAGGGGAAGAAAGAGAAATTGGGAGCTGAGGTGTCTCATCACCTGGTTTTGTGGCTATTCTCCTTACCAGCGGGAGAACTATCACTGAAATTACACACGCAGCCAAGATGTCATCAAACCTTCCTGTGACCAAAGGAACCGTGGCTGAGACAGGCGTTGCTGCACTCATCCCCCACACTCGCAGCAGAAACCTCAACATCTGTTCAAAGATCCTGAAGTTTTGGGTCACGTTTGCTCTCAGGCTGGTAGAGAAAGCAGAATTTAGAATTTCGAAACAAGCATTCTCTCTATTCCTGTCTCTGGGCCTCAGGTTTAGGGCCTCAGGTTCAGTTTTGTTTGTTTGTTTGTTTGTTTGTTTTTTGTTTTTGTTTGTTTCTTTCTAAGTTGGAAAATTTAAGGTTTCTTTCTGGTTCCCTCACTTGAAAAGAGCAGCTAAAGGCTATGGCTCCTGTAAATTTGAATCTCCTAAGCATAAACTCAGATGCTCAGTAGCTATAAAAGTAGACTCTAACCTGTAATCTTGGTTACTGGTCCAAGGATTTTGGTAAATGGGAGTGTGTGTCTCTATTTGGTCTCTGCCAAATAGAGACAAATGGAGCGAGGTGAGCAGGGCAATTCCTTTGTCCATTTTTAGCCCTCAGTGAAACTTCCAGCTCCTGCTGTTTGGTCAGTTTGTCCTCCCAAGACAGGACCTATCCTATCCCATAGGTGGTAAGAACAAGTGTATTTGACGATGAGGGCTTTGGGGGTGGTGGCAGGACAAACGTTGTAGCCTTCTCTCCTGGCCTAAGAAGAAAGAAGGCCCCCTCACTGCCACTTCAGGAATTTCTGCGAGGTTTTTCATTAACGGAGAGAGTTTTATAAGCCCAGCGGCGGAGCGACCCGGAGAAGTCCCAGAGGAATTCCCAGGGTGCCCACAGTTACGACAGCCAAACTGGAGGGAGGCGGATCACTCCTACTCCTGTCCAACCATGCAGGTTGGGGTCTACCCACCCTGTGACGCTTCTGCGGGCAGCTTCAGTCGCCTGGTATTTAAAGGCTGTTCCAGCAAACAACATGTTTTGTTGATGCTTCGCTAGGGCATCTCTTCCACTGGATCCGGGACCTGCGGAGTCTCTTTTCTGGAATCAGTCAAGGACAAGTGGCCTGCGAAACGTCCGGGAACCCAAAGTGGGTGGGCGGGAAGAGCCCTTTCTGAACGTGAGGGACTTACCCAGCCTGCAAGGTGGACCCTGAATCCTACAGCTGCGAGGCCACCCTCGGTAGAGATGGGCAACCCGTTGCAGCCACCTAGAGTTAGTCGCCTGGGGATGCGAGATGGGTGGTCTATGTTTCCAGCTTGGGCCAGCCAACCCGAATCGGCTGCCAGCTCTACACAACTTAGATCATCCAGAGCAGGGAAGGCCCGGAGCTGCGATGGGGACCACACGCTGTCGCGTTCAGTGTGGATTTGGCAAGGGAAGAGAATGTCGCCCACCACTCGGCCAAGAAAGCTGACCAGAAGTCATGAGTCCCTGATGATTTGGACCCAGGAGGGCGGGTAGACGCCACCATACAGAATACTCCCGGATTTGCAAGAGTGGTGCCCAGCTTCGCCACACAACCTGGGCGGTTGTGGTAGGACCATGTGGCTCTCCCAGCCTCCCCAGATTGATTTAATTCAGGCTAGTTGTGTAGTCGTGTAGAGGCTGAAGCTGCAGCACCCAGGCCATGAGATGCATTCTCCAACTGCCTGCAGACCTAGTTCCAGAAAAATAGTTTCTTGTAACCAAACGGTTGGATTTAAGTTTCCCAGTGTAATCTCCACCCTACTCTCACCCCACCCACTCCACCCCACGCTGCCTACAAACAACTACACAATCTGGCCGCCAGCAGATTTAATGTCTGTGTCTCAGGCGTATTTGGTTTACACCTTTAGGCAATTATTGCTGACTCCTTGCTGTGACCCGGAGTTCCAAGCAGGGGTTTATTACAATGAACTGGTTGTATGGATGGTATTTTTTTTTTTTTTTCTGCAGAAAAAGATGTGGCCATCCAGGAACGGGCCGTGTATTCAGAAAAGATGTGGCCATCCAGGAACGGGCCGTGTATTCAGAAAAGATGTGGCCATCCAGGAACGGCTGTGTATTCAGTTTTCTCTCCTCTATGACTCCAGACTCTAGTCTCTGGTCTTACAGTTTACTCCAGACTGCTGAGTCCCTCCACACACAGTGTGATGAAGAGCAGGGTACCTGCAGGGCTAGGGCACCATGCAGGGTTAGGATCCAGGCAAAGGGTCCAGACAATATCTCGATTTTCCTGGGACCCTTACTTTACTTGGGGTTAGTCTTGTGTGGGATCTTCCCATGGCCACTCCACCCGCCTCCAGCCTGACCCCTGAGACTCCCTGGCATATCCTTTTCCCGCCACATGTCAGAGTGGATATAAAGTGGGAGAAACAGGCCCCAAAGTTGGACACATAACTCCCAGTGGCAACCCTCGAGGCTACCAGCAGGGTGGCATCATTTTCTTTCTTTGCTCTTTATTTTCCTCGCAGGAAGCGGGTCAGAAGAGCGCTGCCAAAGGTCTCGCGCTCTGCAGAACTGAGGTTTGGAGTTGTGATACCTGCTCCAAATTGGTGTTTGAGAACTTTGAGCCCAGGATTCAGGACATGTGTTAGGCTAGCAGCGCTATTCCCTGGTTCTAGGTTCGATTTGCAGCGTCCCAGGAAACTGGGCATTCCATCTTCCCGAACCCACCCAGCAGCCTCATGAGGGTATCCCTCCGCACAAATTTTCTCACACACAGGGGAGGAGCCAGGTAGGGTGCTTGTAGCGTCGCAACTTGGATTTCCTGAAATTCTGGGACCTCCTGGGAGGGAGGATCATCGGAGCCAGCCCACAGAGCTTAGGACAATTATTTCTTTGAGAGAGAGAGAGAGAGAGAGAGAGAGAGAGAGAGAGAGAGAGAGAGAGAGAGAGAGAGAGAGAGAGAGAGGACACTGGACTTGGGTTTAATAGAAAGTCAGTTTCGCCACCTACTGGCTGCGTGGCTTAACTTCTCGGGCCTCAGTTTCCTTTTTTTTTTTTTTTAAATTGAGACTTTCTGATTTATAGTGACAGTGAGGAGTGGAATTGTTAGGGTGGGCTTGTGAGAGCAACGTTTGTCTAGAAAAGCTTCCAGAATCGGCTGTGTGTCCGAGCGCGCTCCTTGAGAAGTCAAACATGATAAAATTGATAGATGTTGTTACCATCTTTGAAACTCGGTTCCACGTGTTAGTATTTCTCCAACTCTGGTTGAGGCTGAGGAACGTTCAAGAAGCTGGGACTGCAAGAGTGCGCAGGTGTGGGCACCTTGGATGAGTAGCATTGAGAGGGCAGGCGTGAGAGGGCCGCACGGGTTGGTCATTGCTGCTGTGCTTCCCAAGAAAGCTCACTTTTCGTTTTCTGAGTTACTAGTGTCCTCCGTCACAGGCCGGCCAAGCTCTATTCTCTTAGCTCTTAGCGCTTTGCAGAAGGAAGCTAGAACTGAAGTTCAGCCTCTAGCTGTAGGGTTAGCTGCCTGGCACTCACCTTCTTGTCCGCTGCTTTCCGTAGGACCTAGTCTCTTTGGGACAGGAAATTGCCGC